GGTTTAGTGGGACAACAGGATTAGAGACTAGAGACACAGTTTCTCTTTTTGGGAGGTGGATGTTGCACATTTGTTAGTGGAGGGCTCAGGCTGAGGGATCCATGAGCATGGAGTGCAGGGGGTTGAACCCGTGCTGGACACATGCAAAGCTAGTGCTCCAACTGCTGTACTATCTTCCACCCCTAGACCCCCATTTGACGAGAGCTTGGGTGTGCACTGTGCAGTAGCCTAGTATTTTTTGTGCCAGGGTTTCCCAAATGTTTGTCTGAAGAACTGAGATTCTCCAGGTGGCTGGTGGTTCCGGGTGAGGGCCCGAGGATGTGGTGCTGCTTGGGGCTTGCCACTGGAAATTACCTCGACTATCCTAGAGGTGCTCAGGGTCCTCCAGGGGTGCATCTGGTGATGCGTTAGGCATCATTGCCAGGGATGGAAGCAGAGTCAGCCACCTGCAAAGCGTACACCTTAATCATTTTTCTCTCACCTGCAAGGCATGTGCCATAACTACTTGCCTATCTTTGGCCTTGTGCCACCCACAGTGGTGAGGTGCTTTGCATCTCTAGACTTGTCTCTTATGTGGGACTTCTTTCAAGTTTAGAACGTAAAGGCACGTGTAGATGTATTCTTGTCATTCATCCCCTCTCCTTCAAATCTTTGATTGTGCGCTGTTTACACTATCAGAGGTTCATATACTATCAGAACACAATCCTTAGATAAATGTTGATCATAACTGCTTGTGTATGAATTTTATGTGAATTCTTTTCTTAAGAGACTTACCATTTTTGTGCACTAGATGATTTTCTTGTGTTCAGAACATATGCTTTGATTTATCCAGGATTCTGTGATTAAATTAATTTTAAGTGCACCCCTCTTCCCCCTTTTGTTGTTACTCAATATTATTTTCAGGAATGAATGGAGACTTAGAGAAGATGTGTTTAATGACTGTTTGAACAGTAAGAAGAAACAACTGAAAAGGATGTCTTGCTTTGCCCCTCTCAGAGAGCCCGGCAAGCTACTGAGAGTATCTTGCCCACATGGTGGAGCCTGGCGAGCTCCCCGTGATGTATTCCATATGCCAAACACAGTGACAACAAAGTCTCACAATGGAGACGTTACTGCCTGCTCGAGCAAATCAGTGAACAACGGGAGGATAGTGCTACAGTGCTATAGGAATAGAAGGAAAACATGAGTATCCCACATTTGTGAGAGAACCACTTTCTGCTTTTGTCTCTGACATTTTATACTGAGTATGATTTGCAAACAGGACCTGTCAAGATTATTTCTAATTTTGATTGTGAAAGGGAGATACCAGTGCATTTTCTATAACATTGAAGAGAAATCACTGATGATAGTGAATAATAACAATGTGTGCATATTCGTCTGCCACTGACCCAAGGACCCTTCTTTCTCCCTAAAAAAATCCTTACAGCTCTGTTGACCTATCTCAGGGTTGTTCCTTTTACAGAGGGTCTCATCTCATACTTCATTTCTTTATACACGTGAGCAGGCCCATCTGTTTTTTTTTTTTTTTTTTTGACTCACTTCACTTAGTATAACAACCTCAATTCTATCCACATTGAAACAAGTCTTGTTTTTGGGGGGGTGTGGGCCGGACTGGAGGGCTGTCTTTGGGAGCTCTGTGCTTCAGGGAACCGTATGAGGTGGCGGGGATTGAATCTGAGTAAGCCGCATGCAAGTGCAAGACCTTAGCCTCTGTGCTGTCTTTCCTGATCTGTCCTCGTAGCTGAGGGGTTTTCCTTTGTGCATATTAGACCATTCGTGTGCTGTTGGACATGGGGGTTTGCAGGTCTTGACGGTTGTGAATAAAGCAGCAAATGCAGTGTGTATCTGTTCTTTCACATGAATGTTTTTGTATTCCTTATTGTGTCGGAGCCACACCTGGCTTGGGTTACTCTGCACTGGGTCACTTCTAGTGGTGCTTGGACCATATGGGATCCTGGGAATTAAACTCAGGTTGGCTGCGTGCATAGCATGTGCCTTTCACGCTGCCCACTGTGCTGTCTCTGGCCCCTGTTTTTTGTATTCTTGGGGTAGATGCCCAGGAGTGGAATTGTGGGGTGATAGATGAGCTCCTGTGGGGAGTCTCCAGACTGTTTTCCGAAGAGGCTGGACCAGGCAACAATCTAGAGTCCAACCAGCAATGAGGAAGAATTCTTTTCCATCACTGCCCTGCCAGCACTTATTTCTATCCTGCTTTTTTTGTTTTGGGGCCACACTTCTGCCTCTGCACTTGGGTTCATTCCTGGCCAAGGACAGGGGTGCGTTGTGGGGGAAGGGACGTGTGCAGAGGGATGGACGGATGGATGGACAGACATCATGGAGTGCAGGGGGTTGAGCCCGTGTTGGGGTTGGTCCATAGGATGGACGGCCACGGGGACTCCTATGGGATGTCTGAGGCCAGCCCAGGTCTAGGTGCTCTTCCTGCTGCACTATCACCTTATTTCTTTATTTCTTACTTTTTGTTCCACCATTCAAGGTCATTCTGAGGTGATAATCTCCTTGTTTTGATTTATATTTTGCTCATGATTACGTGTTTTCATATGCCTATTATGTTTGAGGAAGTTTCTGTTTATCTGCTCTTCCCATTTTTTGGATGAGTTTGTTGCAGTGCTTGTCACTTGGTTACCTACAAAGATTAGTTCACAGCAGCAGGCAGAGCGCGCGCTCTCTCTCTCAGTTATGTAGGAGTGCTGCTATTTGGTCCGCCATTGATTAAGCTGATGGAATTGGGCATGAACTCCACATGACTTTTTTATTTTATTGTGTCACCGTGAGATAGAGTCACAGAGCTTTCATGGTTGAGCTTCAGCCACATAATGATGGAACACCCATCCCTCCGCCAGCGCACACTCCACCACCGATGTCCCCAGCATCCCCCCATCCCAGTCCTTACCCTGCCTCTGCGGCAGCCAATTTCCCCAGTACTCTCGCTCTAATTTTGGGCTTATGTGTTGCTGGAATTTTCCCACCACCGTTCAAGCCTCCCTGCCAGGGCCAGTTACTAGCTCGTTTGTTTTCCGTTGCTCATTTTGAGCATCATGAGAACTTGCGTGGCCGTGATTGTAGATGTAGGTTTCTAGATTGTGAATGGTTGGGTGCCAGAGACATCTGTGTATGGCGCTGATCCATTTTGGGATTCAGTTGGGAGTCCCTGGGCCAGGGCTGCTGGTGCTAAGATGGCGCCCAGAGGCAACTTGTGGGCCTGACAGCCTGTCTGCTGGGTGGGCGGGGACCTGGGGAGGGACAGCCCAGCTCCCAGATCCTCAGGCAGAGCTCTCTTTAGCGGTTCACCCTTAAGGTCTGTTCGTATTGAAGGTACACTGTAAGAGGGCACCCACCAGTGAAGTTATTCGAATTGTGTGGGAGAGGGATGCTGGGAATCGAACCCGGCCGTGTGCAAGGCAAACGCCCTACGCGCTGTGCTATCGCTTCAGCCTCTCTTACTGTATTTTTTAAAGTTCTGCTGGTCGCTGCTCTAGGTGATAAGGGGGGCGGTGGCGAGGAGGGCCTGCTGAGTATTGGGGCAGGGAAGAGACGCAAAATGTGCTTGGGAGTTGCTCCCAGCAGTGCTGGAAGGGACTCCAGGGAGTCAACCCAGGGCTTTCGCAGGTGAAGTGTGCACTGCAGCCTTTTGAATTATCTTCCTAGCATTCTGTTTATGTGTTTTTTCTTTTATTCAGGTTTGGGGTCACACCTAGTAATGCTCAGGGGTTACTGCTGGCTCTGCACTCAGGAATCAGTCACACTTGGCTATGCTTAGGGGCCACATAAGATACTGGGGATTGAACCCAGTCACTTCATCAAGGCAGGTGCCCTACCCACTGTACTGTGCTCTGGCCCCAAAGCTTATACTTTTAATGAAAAGTTACAGACTCGTGAAAGTTTACAAAATAATTGTTGAAAGGTTATTGAAAGTTGAGAAAATACTGCATTCTTTTTTTATAACTCTTGGTTAATCTCTGAAGACTTGAAAATTGAGGCACGAAAATGCTTGATGTTAACTTTGAATGGCTTATTAGTAAAGTTTTGAGACATGATTTGTCAGTCTTTTCAGATTCTGTGGTTCAGTACCCATTAGGTGTGCCCAGTTGTAGTGTCTTAATGGTTCGGGTTATTGGGGTGAGGCGCTGCCACGCAGTACTTAGGGGGCCTTTCCTGGTGATACTGAGCCATAAACTTAGCCGACCAGGGTTTTTGGTTCAGTACTAGTGCCTGTGGATTTAGTGTCGGGAGTGTGTCTCTGTGGGGGTGTGGGACGGGGTGTGGGGGATTGTTCCCGAATCACACCTGGCATTGCTCTGGAACCAGTGATCCAGGTTGGACGTACATTATTAACCCTGTGCTCCAGAACTTGACTGGTTTGATTTGTGACAAAAAACAGCGTTATCTTGAGGCAAGGGGGTGGTAGGGTAGGGCATTTGCTTTACACACACACACACACACACACACACACACACACACACACACACACAGAAGCCAGAAAAAAAACCTGAACAGCAGGGTAGGGCATTTGTCTCTCTCTCTCTCTCTCTTACACACACACACACACACACACACACACACACACACCCAAAAAACCCCCAGAACAGCAAGGTAGGGCATTTACACCTTACCACCCACCCACATACACAACAAAACAGCTTTGTCTTGAAACTTTTTCAGAGCCAAGGATGTAACGTAGTGGTAAAACATATATTTGGGGGAGTATGAAGACCTGGATTCAGTTCCCAGCACTAAAATGAAATTTATTATTTTGAGGGCCACACCCAGTGGTGTTCAGGGCTTCTGGCTTTGCTCAAGGATCACTCCTGGCTGGACTTGGGACCATGTGGGGCAGGGGACCAAACCCGAGTTGGACATGTGTAAGGCTTACTTGCTGTACTATCTCTCTGGCCCCCAAAATAGATATTTGGGTTTGTTTTTATGATCATGTTTGTTTACTATCCGTGATTTAGAAGAACTATGGAATGCTTGTTTCCTAGGCTCATCAGCAGAGCAGACAAGCAGATCGTTTATTAGCTGCAGGGAAATACGAAGAGGCTATTTCTTGTCATAAAAAGGCTGCTGGTGAGTATTCTTTTAAAGAAATTCCAAGTCTAACTGGAAAGCATTTCTTTCGCCCAGTGTTTCTCAACACACTAATAATGATTAGGGTCACACTAATGCTGATAAGTTGTTACCCATGTTCATAAGGATGACACTGTTAATCTACTGGAAAAAATCTACTTGAATTCATTTTTCAAGTGAGTTTGCATTTCCCAGTTTTGCCCATCCTTATCTTTTTAACCAAGAAGATTATATTGCTACGTTGATCATTGATTTTGGGGTATAGCTTTCTGAGTCCGAGGATCCCTTAATGGTCAGAATGGTGTGTGAATTTTAAAGTGCTTAGCCATTTTAGGTTTATTGGAAATAGTTCTAGCCACTTCATTTTTATTGAGTTTGCTTTCTAAAATGCTAAACTGCCAGGTTGGTTTAAACTGTTTCTGTGGTCTTACTTTAGCTTATCGTCTAAGTATTTCATCTGTAAACTGAACACATAGATTCTGTTGTATCACGTTGCTCGTAGTTTTCTTTTTACGTTCACTGTTAAGGCACTGCGACTTACAAAATTGTTCACGATAGTTTCATTGTTCCGAACCATCATCATCGTCAGCTTCCTTGCACCAGTATTCCCAGGTTCCGTCCTCCTCCCAGGTAATAGTTTTCTTTGAAGAATGCAGATGCAGGATTACTGGCCTTTTATGCCAGGAAAAATTCTAGTCGTTGTTTTCAAATATTTTTCATTGAAGTAGAGCTTTTCCTAGTTAGGGCTGAACACAGGGGAGGGACTCTAGAGATCTTTCTCCTTCAGTTTTTGGTTCACGCTGGTCAATACTCGGGACTTTTCTCCTGGCTCTGCACTCGGGGGCCACTCAGTGGGGCTTGGGGGACCAAATCGTGGGGATCCAACCCAGGCCACCTGTGTGCAAGATAAGCCTTTGACCTCTGTCCTATTGCTCTGGCCCCAGCATCTGTTTTCTGGATCAGTTGAGATAGGAAGTTACTAAGGAAAGAGCTGCCTAAATTTGGCAGGAGATACAGAAAAGGAGGGATCTGTTTTTCCACACTGTGTTCAGCAGGAAAAGTTCAAGAAGCCACACACTCCCGACGATTCAGCATTGTGAGAGAAAGTCTCTTGGCTTGGGGCTACAGGGATAGTACAGTGGCTTGCACATGGCCAGCCCTTATTTGATTCCCGCCCGGTCTAGTTCCGCAATCCCCTCTAGGAGATTTCTCAGAGCAGAGCCAACAGTAAGCGCTGGTGTGCCAGGCATGACCCAGAACCCGAAAGCAGCAGAAGTTTAATTGGGGAAGAACATTCTAGCCACTGACTGCTCAGAACTCAAAATGGACACCTCCCTCCAGAGAACTTAGAACTGAGCAGACCTCGACAGTGTTTGTATTTGGTTGAGAACGACTTGGATTGTCTCATGAAGTGGACATGAAAATGGTTAAGAGTCGATCTCTGTTGTGAAGATCTAGTGTCTTGCTGCATTTGCGTGAACACTTTGCACTTTGAATCTAAGTAGTTCAGATTTTGTTTATTTTCATTTGCGGTCAGTACCAACTTTAAATATTTTTGTTTCGTTATTGTTTGTTTTGGGGACACGTCCCTTGGTGCTTCGGGGTTACTCTTGGCTCTGCACGAGGGGCTCATTCCTGGTAGTGCTTTGTGGGGGTTGGGGAGACGCAGAATAAGGGACGTTGCGCTGAACCCGGCTGAGCTGCATGCAGGGCAAGCGCCTCCACTGTACTGACTCTCCAGCCCAAGGTACTGGTTTTAAAGTTAGACTTTGTAAATACAAATTGCAGTGTCTCTGAGTTCTTTGTCCTTTGGGAACTCACTGCCCTCCACTGTATGTTGCAGTTCTAAGTTCTCTGAAGGGAGGTGTCCATTTTTAAAAAACCGTTGGGTTTCCTAAGAAAGTGGATACAATGTAAAGAGTAGTCAGCTAGGCAAACACAGTGCAAGGGACATGCCGGTGGTTCGGACTCTTCAGGGCCTGAGCGGCATTGCCTCCTCATGTCCTCGGTCCACATTGACCTGGATGGCCAGCTGTCCGAATATTGCTGAGTTGTTCCCGGGACACCTTAGTACTGCTTGGGAGGTACCAAAACAACAAAGCAAGGAAACAAAGTGACCATGGGAATTATGGGCCAGACAGAGTTCAAAGGACTGGAGTGGCTCTTGGTTCAGTTCCTGGCACGTACTAAAGAAATGAGCCATTTGAGGTCAGATTCATAGTATAGTAGGAAAGGGTATTTGCTTTGCATGTGACTGACCCAGGTTCAATCCCAGGGATCCCATATGGTCCTCTGAGCATTTCTAGGAGTAACTTCTGAGTGCAGAACCAGAAGTAATCGCTGAGCATCACCAGATATGGCCCCGAAAGAAAACAAAAAAGAAAAGGATTTAATAGATAATAATAATACCAATCTTACTATAAAATGACCTATAGGGGTACATAAAATGTAATTTAAATAAGGAAATATATAGAAAAAATGGGGATGAACAGGAATTAAAGTTGATAAAAGTACCAAGAGTTCTTACAGATGTCATAGAACTCTTAACTTTAAGCTTTCCAATAGCTGAGTTTGATAACTATGGATTTTTTCCAGGGACTATTTAAGATCAGAGTAATTAATTTGATTACTCAGAAAATAATCCTGGTATTAGAAAGAAGTTATTATCAGTCACTTATGCTCTTCATAAGTGCCATATTGCTCTATCCAGCTTAAAATATGTCAGTAGTATATCGTAGCTAAGAAACAGTTCAATGAAATTAGTTCTCTACTAGGGCTTGAGTGATAATATAGAGGCGAGGGCATTTGCCTTGCACATAGCTAACCCAGTTTTGATCCCCAGCCCCCAGATGGTCCTTTGAGCCTGCCAGGAGTGATCCCTGAGTGCAGAGCCATGAGTAAGCCCTGAGCACAGGGAGATGTGGCCGTAAAACAAAAAATAGTCCAGGTGGTCATGTATGTAAAGTCACATGGAAATAATAAATCCCTTGGTGTTTTTGCCAACATAGTAATAAGGTGTTTTGTTCGCTTTTGGTTTTTGGGCCACACCCAGAAGTGCTTAGGGGTTATACCTGACTCTGCACTCAGAAATTACTGGCGCTGCTCAGGGGACCATATGGGATGCTGGGAACTGAACCTGGGTCGGCAGTGAGCAAGGCATGTTCCATGCCGACTGTACTGTTGCTCCGCCCCAATGAGTAATAGGGTTTTATTTCTATTCATTTTTTTTCTAAGTAGGCTATTATTCATTAATTATAAAATCTTTTGTTTGTGATTCTGGGATCAAATATAGAGACTTGATGGAAACATCCACACTGGGATATATTGCAATATATCCCGACCACAATATGTAGAAGTTTTGAGGAATGAATCCTTCCGAGAAGGAATAGGAAATAACTTAATTTGATTGCCTTTAGCATCAGTTTTGGGAAAGTTCAGAATCCTCTGTAGAAATGTTCAGTTTCTTTTCAGGAACAGGATAACTGTAGTAGAATTGCTTACAAGATGAGTTCTCTTTGTCATAGGAGTATTAAAACTCTTCCTTTGCCCTGTTAGTTACATCAATTATGTTACTCATTTATGTACCTGCTTTTTTTTCCCCCCAAAAAACCAGCATATCTTTCTGAAGCCATGAAGCTGACACAGTCTGAACAGGTGAGACACTTTCTTAATGTCTGTGGAGAATTAAATTGTATATAAAATAAAGGGCTGGAGCGATAGCACAGCGGGTAGGGCGTTCGCCTTACAAGCGGCCAACATGGCCGACCCGAGTTCGATTCCTCCGCCCCTCTCGGAGAGCCCGGCAAGCTACCAAGAGTATTCGATATGCCAGACACAGTAACAACAAAGTCTCCAATGGAGACGTTACTGGGCCCGCTCGAGCAAATCGACGAACAACGGGAGGGCCTTTACCTTTACCTTATAAAATAAAGAGCCATGTCCTTCTCAACGCTAGTAAAAAAATACAGCAGCCACCAATTTGTCGTTTGTTATAACAACGTTAATGAGGCAGAAATTTTCTTGGCAGGAGAAAATTTACACATTAGACTTACTGTTGTGTCTAAGCTGTCCCAAGTTAAGGTGAGTGTGGTGTTTATGTGTCCTTTGATCAGACTCTTCTTGCTGTGAAACCTTGTATGCCAAGATAGCCTCTATCCTGGTTGCTGGAGTAAGTGGGTAGGAAAATGAATGAATGAGTACCAAATGCACGGTAGCCCTGTCCTCCCGTTGATCGTCGATTTGCTCGAGCGGGTCCAGTAACGTCTCCATTGTGAGACTTGTTGTTACTGTGTCTGGCATATCGAGTACGTCACGGGGAGCTTGCCAGGCTTTGCCGTGTGGTAGCCTGCCGGGCTCTCCGAGAGGGGCGAATCCATTGGCTCTGTTGTGCAATGGATAGCGCATTGGAATACTAAATACCGGATTAATTTTTGGGTTCAAGTAGTGCTAGAGTGCAGGACCATGCAGTAGCAGGAATTGATCCGCAGGTATTAGCATGCCAGCCGTTTGTGCTCTCTCCCCAACCCCACAAATTATTGTTTAATATCAGAAGTATTTGGGGTCTTTTGTTTATTCAGTTTCTTAGAGTTTTTGGGTTCTGTTTGGTGATGCAGGGTTTGCTCCTGGCTCTGCACTCAGGAATTACTCCTGGAGGTGCTTAAAGGAGTGTATAGGATGCCAGAAATCGAAGCTGGTCAGCTGAATGCAAGGCAAGCACCTTATCTGCTGTACTATCTCTCCAGCCCTGGGTCTTTTCTTTTAAAATCGCTTTTGTGGGAGGCTGGAGAAATAGCACAGCGGGTAGCGGGGTTGCCTTGTGTGCAGCGATGACCCAGGTTCGATTCCCAGCATCCCATATGGTCCCCTGAGCAACGCCAGGAGTAATTACTGTGCAACACTGGGTGTGTCCCAAAAAGAAAAAAAACTGCTTTTGTGACAAGAAATCTGCCACAAGAACCTTGAACTATTGCATCAGTTGGGCTGTGGTTTTAAGATTTCATTATATATAGTTTTAAGCTGCAGTTTTCGAGAACCTGTGATGATAAGTGAAGATGTACTGTATAAAATGGGGTAGAGGTACAGAGGTTAAGGTATTTCTTAGCACATGACTGACCCTCCCCTCCCCCCAGCACTTGATCCCCAGCACTGCGTGTGGTCTTTCAGCACCGCCAGTAGTGATCCTTGAACACAGTTAGAAGTAGGTCCGGAGTACTGCTGGCTATTACCCCTCCCCCCCAAAAGTCGCAGTAAATAATAGTAAAAGGGAGAGAGTAGAGTTCTTCAGGAAGGTCACTAATTTTAAAGAAAGAACTGCTGTTGATAGCTTGCAGAATCTTTTTTTCCCCCCCTTTTTGGGTCACACCAGCGATGCTCTGGAATTACTCCTGGCTCTGCACTCAGGGCTTATACTCCATGGGGTCCCCGCCTGGGGGACCATATGTGATGCCAGGGAGTGAACCTGGGTCGCCTGCTTACGAGGCAAACTCCCTGCCCACTGTACTATCACTCCGGCTCTAGAATCTTTTACTCGTGATTATAATCTCAGATTTCTAAGTGTTCTGTGGAAGCTGCACTGAGCGTCTTGCTAGACACATTGGCTCACTGTAAGTAAGCAGGCTTGGTCAAGAGGAAACTAGTTGTACTTTCCTGGACTTGCCATTTGAATCTAAATGGTTTCCCACCTGAATGGCTCCCCAATTTTCCCAAGTGTCTAAAAAATTCTGCAACTTAATTTTTATCCAGTGACTTTAAAAGCTCTTGGAACTGGGAGAGAGAATCCAGTGGCTAGGATGCATGCAGAGCCAACTTGGGTTTGATCCTTGGCACCTCATATAGTCCTCTGAGCCTGGCGAGCAGTGATTAGGTATCAGTGCATGTTCCTTTGGTTAGAGAGTTGCTAATGTTAGCCACCTAGTACAGATGTGTATTGTATGTCTAAATACTCTGTTAACCATTTTGTTGTTGTTTTGGGACAAAACCCAGGGCCGTGAGTTGCTGGAGGTTGAACCTTGGTCTCCCACATTAAAGCATTTGCTCAGCCTGTTGAATTATCTCTTCAGCCCAGGAAAATTTTTTAGCTAGCTGAAAAATTACAAAGGCGGGTTTTGTGATCTTTATTTGATTGATTGATTGATTTTTTGCTTTTTGCGTCACACCTGGCGGTGCACAGGGGTTACTCCTGGTTCTGTGCTCAGGACTTACTCCTGGCGGTGCTTTGGGCGACCATATGGGATGCTGGGAATCGAACCCGGCCCGGCCCCAAGCAAGGCAGATGCCCTCCGCACTGTGCTATCGCTCCAGCCTCAGGTTTTGTGATCTTTAAGCTGAGTGCAGATGGCAATGCAGAAGGATCAGACACGTTCAAAAAAAGCCTGATTAGGGGAATAGGACTCCCGATTTTCTGATTGGTGTTTTGTTTAGGAATAAAATAAAAATAAATAACAATACTATCTAAGAAACAAACAAGTTTGTAAGTGCCTACGGAGAGGCAGGCTGTGGGGGAGGAGGGCAGGAAGGAAACTGGGGGCTTTGTGGTGGGGAGGGGAGGTGATGGAACATTGTATGACCGAGACCCAGTCGTGAACAACTTTGTAACGACCTTACGGTGATTCAGTGAAAGGAAAATCTTTTTAAAGTTTTTCAAGAGAAGCCTAGTTGTTTTGGATAATTTTGGAAGGTTTCTTGAGTTCGAAACAGAGTATGTCAAGTTTAAGTTCTTGGGTTGCCTAGGAAGAGATTTCAAGTGCTAAATGGACCTTTCCTTCTCCGTCACAGGCTCATTTGTCACTGGAACTGCAAAGAGACAGTCACATGAAGCAGCTGCTCCTCATCCAGGAGCGGTGGAAGAGGGCAAAGCGGGAGGAGAGGTTGAAAGCTCAGCAGAGCACAGACAAGGAAGCAGGTGCCCACCTTCAGGTAGCTCCCAAGCCTGCCGCGGAGGATGCGGATGGCCGGAGTTCCCTTCTGTTCCAGAACAGCCCTTCTGCTGAGAAACGCCCTCCCGAAATCCAGGGGGTCTTTGACAGGGATCCAGACACTCTGCTGTTCTTACTGCAGCAGAAGAATGAGCCGAAGGAGCCCTGCATCGGGAGCAAAGCCCCGAAAGATGATAAAACGATAATAGAAGAGCAGGCAACCAAAATTGCAGATTTGAAGAGGCACGTGGAATTCCTTGTGGCCGAGAATGAAAGGTTAAAGAAAGAAAACAAACAGCTAAGGGCTGAAAAGGCCAGACTTCTAAAAAGTCCTCTGGAAAAGGAATTAGAGGTCGATGCTGATTTTGTAGAAAAGTCAGAGCTCTGGAGCTTGCCACCACATTCAGAAGCTGCTGCAGCCTCCTCAACCTGGCAGAAGTTCGCAGCAAACACGGGGAAAGCCAAGGACATTCCAATACCCAATCTTCCTCCCTTGGATTTTCCATCTCCAGAACTTCCCATCATGGAGCTATCTGAGGATATTCTTAAGGGATTCATGAATAATTACGACGAAAGGCCATAGGAGATGTGAGAAGATGGAAACACGGAAGCACAGGTTCTCCAGAGGAGGGGGACAGGAAAACCACGGGCAGGAGGAATCCCAGAGATGCTTCATCACCTGGAGTGCGTGGAAAAGGCTTTGCCAGGACTTGGAAAACAGTCACTGTGAAATACGTTGCATATCTGATTTACTGACTAGAGCTAATGATTCCAGACTTGGCAGACACTAAACTCTTGGAGGTTCACTTTCTCCTGATACGAACCAGTGGCTGCCTGAAATAATTTTTCAAGCAACAATGATTTTTTCTTATATTCAGGGTTAAAATGTATAAAAGTATGTTATGTGTAATTAATCTGTAATGCCATAAATGATAATGCAAAACCTAAAAAAAAGCATGGTGGCTCTTGCAACTGCCTTGTATTCGAAACATGCTTTCTATCATGCATCGTTGACTGTAAGCATTTTGTTATGCACATTTTGTTTGTTTAATGAGGTGTGTAAGATGCCTTTCTAGATGAAACTGTGTGCCACACTTTGCACTACTCATAACATAATGATAACCTCAAGACTATCAGGAGAAATATTTAAATTTCCATTTTATGAAGAAAGGAACCAAATTATTAGTTATGCTTTTAAAAAATTACCAGTTTACATAATTAATCAGGGTGCATTTTAAGTTCTAACTTTCTTGTTTATTGTATACCGCATCATTTGAAAATACCAAGGAAAGAATCCTTTTGTTTTTAATGATGCATGAGTGGAAGTAATGCTAGTTGGCAGTATTTGATTGTAAGAAATCAATAAAATAATTGTGTTTTATACTTTTGTTGAATGTGAGTAGTGGTTTCAAGAGCAAGGTTTGTGTGGATTCTGAGTTGGAATATTTGAATATGAATTTGAACAGTTTTGGTCATACGATTATTTTGACCAGATTCTATTAAAGATTTCTTCAGTGTTTTGTCGTCAGTTTCCCTACAACCAGGGTGAAAGAAACACAGAAGTTCTGAGGTTTAAATGTGTTCCCAACTATTAATGTAGCACATGGAAAGTGCTCAGGTGTCCGCTCTGCAGTTGGGTTCTTTCGCAGGAGTATGAAGATTTCAGCAAAATCTGGTACAAACCACTGGGTTTGTTTAAAGCGCGAACTTTATCATTTAAAGTTATGGGGGTGACAACAAGATGAATTAACAACACCACATCGCCTCCCAAGGGTGCCAGGGACAATTTGGGTAGGGCTTGGGCTGAATTGTTCTTGATTCGAATGAGCTGAGTGGCCACACAGTCACATTTTCCCAGTCTCATTTTGCTGTGAGGCCCGTATTTTATTCCAGGCATTGGGAGAAAACAAAGCTTAGACCGACAAGTGTGTGCCCAGAGCAAACTATTACCAAAGGCATACTTCTCTCTCCTGTTCTCCTTTTGCTTTGGGGGCACCACCTGGTAGTGCTTGAGGTCCAATCCCCAAAGTGTGAAGCCTGCACTTCAGCCCACCACGCAGTGTCTGAGAGACAGCTCAGTGGGCTCATATTCTGCACAGTTTGATAGCTATTTTACAGACCTCACATTGTTTTCCTTTTGCTTTGAAGCTTTGATTTTGTGCTACTCGGTATTGTCCAATCCCTCTAAGTTTTGAATGTGTTCGTAAGATGTTTGTACTTTTGAACCAGGATGACACAATCTGCTTGAAGCATTCTACCACTCCTTCATATTATATACCCACCCCCCGAAAAAACCCTTGTTTTCCTCAGTTGCAGGAGCTGTCCTCCAGGCACATGGCCCATCTGAAGGGACTTAAAGAAAAACTTGCTTCTACAATTAAGCAAGTGCAGGAAGTTTAGCTGCGTCTTGGCCTTCATTACTCAGTTGTAGCCTCTTGCTATTCAATCTGGATAACTAGACAGAGAGATGTTAAATCTCAGAAAGCTTGAGGCTGGACCAACAGGACAGCCGGCAGGGAGCTTGCCTTGCAGAGGCCGGCCTGAGTTTGATCCCTGCCATCCCATACAGATCTTGATTACTGCCTAGAGTAATTCCTGAGTGTAGAGCCCCCAAGGATCACTGTGTGTGGCCCCAAACCTAAACACCCCCCCCCCCCCCCCCACCGCCCTAAGGAGCTTAGGAAGCTTATCCCGAGTTCTCATTTCAAATTTGACATGGGACAACGAAAACACATTTTTTTTTTTTTTTCAGAAAGTAGCATGTAATCCTTGGGATTGTTACACTATCATTTGGCACAAGTATTCACTCCCTACAAACCAAGTAAGAGAAAAACATTTTCAGAAGTTCTAAGCTAGTGTTTTATCAGGGTTATTGAAACAAAGCACTTTATATCTAGATAAGTCAGTTCAAAATGTTGAAAATCTTCCTGCATGTAACAGACCTCTAGGTATTCTGTTATGTTTTGTCATTTCTAGGCTTTAGTATGCGTGTTTTTCATTTTTATTTTGGCTTTGTACAGGGCTGGAGCAATAGCACAGCGGTAGGGCATTTGCCTTGCACACGGTGGACTGGGGCCGACCCGGGTTCGATTCCTCTGCCCCTCTCGGAGAGCCCGGCAAGCTACCCAGAGTTATCTCGCCCGCACGGCAAAGCCTGGCAACCTCCCCGTGGCATATTCAGTACGCCAAACAGTAACAAGTCTCACAATGGAGAAGTTAACTGGGCCCGCTCGAGCAAATTTATGGCCAACCAAACGGGAGGACAGTGCTACAGTGCTGCTTGGTCACTCCTGGTAGTCTCAGGGGACCATATGGAATGCTGAGGATCAAACCCTGGTCATTTGTGTGCAAGGCAAGAACTGTACCTGCTGTATTATCACCTCACCCCACCTGGGACCTGTATTCTATTTAGTATGAGGAAGATAGTGTATGAATTACGTGATATTTTATACTAGAGACTTGAGAAGTAACCCTGAGTTTATTTTAGTCAATTTTCCTATGTGCCAAGAGACTTGGTCAGATTTTTCAGATACACATGGTTCTTTCTTGTTTAATATTTGGGCCACCCGTGCTCAGGGGTTGCTGGTGGCAGTTCCTGGGGCTTGGCCATAAGAAAGGCCAACTGAACCCCTTAACCCCTGTACCTTCCTTGTAAGAATTTTGTGGAGCCAGGGATTAAGCCCAAGGCCTCACATAGACAAGGCGAGTGTACTTCCCAAGAAGTTGGGAGAACACACGGTAAAAGTTGTTAACCCCTCACTAATGAAAAGCCTAACGTCCATTTTCTATACTACTGACAGAAGGGAAGGGTTTTTTGGTTTTGGGGCCACACCCTGTGATGGTCAAGATTTACTACTGGTCAGTAAATGTACAGCTGCTGTACTAGCGCTGCGGCTCTAAGGTTACTCATTTTTATGGGACCACACCCAGGGGCTGAGTTGGGTGAGGGGTGGGCGGCAAGGAGGATATTCTGTGCTGAATCATCAGGTCAGTCACGTGCAAGGAAAGTGCCCTATCAGCTGTATTACTGTTCGCACCCCTTGAAGCAAAAGTTTTTTGGTTTTCTTTTTTTGCTTTTTGGGTCACACCTGACAATGCTCAGGACTTACTCCTGCCGTGCTTGGGGGACCATATGGGATGCTGGAAAGCGAACCCGGGTTGGCAGCATGCAAGGCAAACGCCCTACCGCTGTGCTATCACTCCAGCCCCCGAAGCAAAAGTTTTTATTGCAAGAAATTTAAACGTGAGTAGAGAATTTCATAGGTGTTCAACAGAGAACATGAACTTCTCCATAAGGAAAAAAAGCCCTAAAGTTACTGGAAACTTTTGTGTTTGGGGGCCACACCTGACGGTGCTCAGGGCTTCCTCCTGGCTCTGCACTCAGGCATCACTCCTGGTGGGTTTGGGGGACTCTAGGAGATGCTGGGGATTGAGCCCAGGTTGGCAGACGTGACATCGGTGCCCTACACACTGTACCATTGCTCCGGCACCTCAAATTATTTTTAAAGGTGAAGATAGTATCTTGTCAGTCTGCTATTATGTTTATATGGCATATTTGGAGTCAGGACAGTTACTGCAAGAAGAGCTATTATAGAATTATTTGAGGCAGGCGATATATACAAAGATCAAATGTGATCTTCATGGTTTTGTCATGAACCAAACGTAGCCTGACTGGAGACATCTGTGGGAGCAAATGGCATGGCTTCAGTGGCAGTCAGGTTTTCATGATCATGGCTGACCAACAGTGCCATCTAGTGGGTGGTGAGGAACTTGTTCTTTTTATTGCGTGAGTTAAGCAAAAACTTTTACTTGCATATTTGGACACCCTGTTCTCATCCGATTGGTTTATGGGCTAAGTCTACAGTGGAATCTGAATGCAGGTACCAAATATTTAATGAAAACCACTAGTGTAGACTTTGAAGCATTAGTGGGTAAGAGCAGTGCTTCTCAATCTCCCTTACCTTCATTTCTGTTGTGTGCTGACCCCAGCTGCTTGACCCCCTAGTCCCAAGTGATGTCACCCTTCCCTCTGCCATCTACACCATTTTCTATATTTGCTGCTTTATCTATTTCTTAAAGGATCATGCAACAACTTTACAAGGCCGGACCCAAGGCAAATAAATGTGTTACAGCTCTTCATTCTGTACATTTGCTGGCACAAGGTTTCCTGGGGTAGTACTTTCTATTACCAGTGCCAGATACATACTGAGCTTTTCTGTCTAAATCAAAACATTTTTTGATTTAGATTGTGGTTTACAAAAATGGCTTTTGCACACGATTCCAACACCACATCCCATCACTGTGTACCCACCTCCTTCCCCCAGAGACCCCAATATCCCTCCCTCTCAAACCACCACTTGAACACAGTTGTGGCAGTTCTTCCATTGCCGCCTCTGGCCCTTTGTTGCTACCTTGCTGTGTATCTTGTACCACACGAGAACATTCTGTACTGATCCTTTCCTTAAGAATTAATTTCTTGAGTCGTGAGGTAGTTCTACCCAGAAGTAACCCCCCCCCCCCCAGGCCCAAATGGCTGGGGGCTGTGATCTGTGTTCTTAACGCCTTTCTTTTACTCAACCTATTACTTGGTCCTGTATTCTGTCATAGCATGACTGTGTCAGTTTCTGCTGACTAGGATTATACTGGACCTCCGGTAAGACGCTGGTTCCCATCTCATTTTAAACTTCATTTCTTTTCATTATCCCAACTCTCTAAATCTTGTCAAATTTAGGTAAAGGCTAAGGGACAAAATCAGAGTTGGACCTTGGTTGTCCTTAGAATACAATGCCTGTCAAAATGGAGGCCAGTTCGGAGAAGCCATATGTAATACATATTTTTGGTATACTTGTCATCCCCAGAGTTGAGATCTTTTTCGTAGACTATACAGAAAAGATGGGCAAGTCTCCAGGCCTAGTTGCAGCTGGTGGGCTCACTTACAAAGAGCTAACTGAGCAGTTGAAGTCAGCTGTGGAAAAAATCTCTCCAGCCAGGAACTCACTTTGTATGCAGCCAGCGACTGGAGTTTGCCAACATTTCATTTTTGTTTGGAAGCCTCCTTGCTTTCATTAAAGAAACAGATTACTGTGAGTGGCAAAATGCTTTGCATATAAACTAGTTTATACTGTCCATATAAAGGTGTAGCTAAATCACTGTGTAACCAGGGATGTCATTTTGTAGTTAGGAAACATCTTTTTTTTAAGGAAAAATCTTACTGACAAGTCTGGTGACATACACCACTGAATACTGTCTACTTGCTAAATTCCAATTCATAATATATTTTGAGTAGCTCTTGAATAGTTTAAGCCTCTTGATTGGATTTGAGAGTGGTCTAGAAATAGAACATACTGGATCTATCTACAGTATATGTTCACAGGTAACAAAAA